ACAGATAGAGTGCCCGTAAATAACACATCTAATAGATTAACATTTAAATTGGAAACCAGAAAAATTGAAGGGTTTTTTGAATAAATATATAAACCATTTGAAATCATTAGAGACTTCAAAATACACGGAATAAAGTTTTCGGTACGGAATAAGTTGTTAAACAAATTAATTATTCAATTGATTTTTCACGACAAAAAACATACACTGATATAATTTGCTGCATAAAATTCAATGTATGTACTGAACTGTATGTATGTCTGTCTGTCTGTCTCACTAATAACGCAATTACTTGTTTTTATGCCCAAAAAATATCTGACAGCATTAAATGTGAAATCTCGGCCAGAAATATAGACATAAATAATTTCCGTTTAGTTATAATCAGATTAGTAGTCAATATAATGTACGGCATATCTAACAAAACTAGCAGTGAGTTTATGGACTGCTGTGACGATACAGTCGTTGGACAACAGTCTTAACAAAACAGAGACACAAAAAAAGAAAAATTAATTAGAAATTGTGTTTCCAATTATTGAATTCTGGTGTTTAACCTCGTTATACATGTTTCTACACTACATATACACACACTATATATTTAATGGTCAACACAATTATCTCGCAAATGATTATTTGTCTCATTAATATCGTCTACTAATCTCTATTTTCCAGACGACGAGCGGTCAGAAGTGGTTGGAGTGATCACTGCCGACGGTCTCATCGACGGCCACATCCGGACGCCCACCGAAGACTACTATATAGAGCCGGCGGACCGTTATTTCGATGAACAAGACTTTCACTCAATTATATATCCGCTTTCGGCGGTCGACTTCCCGCGCGTCGACACCACTGTTTGCCGCTCTGTTCACACATACGTCCAGCAAAGTGTCCGTAACTCCAGTAGTAGTAGTAGTAGTAGTGATGATATCAGTAGTGATAACGACATCAACCGGAAGGAGGACAGGGGGTCAGCGCCTGACGCCAGACAACACCATACGTCGGAGTGCTGTCACAACTGTTCCCAATCGCGCGTTAATGACCAAAAAGTTAGACATAATTATATTTCATCGACTGATGAGCGACTAAATGATGGCCAACGACGACAGCGACTACACGACGATAACAACGCATACCATGAATACAGTGGCGATACTATTATGAAGAGTGGCTCACATGAGAGAGCTATCGATTATGTGTTCAGTCAATTAGCCGACCGTTCATTGAATAAGAAAACAAAAAGCAAAACAAATACGAGAGAAGAGGAGGAGAAGGAAACGAATGGCATCGGAGACGACACGACACCCACGACAACGACGACGACGACGTCTACCACCAGAAGCGGAAGAATGGGTCGCAAAACGCGAGTCAAACGACAGGACAGTAATCAAATTAACGGACAGACAGTGGAAGTGAGTTATGATGACAGCGAAACTCATGGAAACAATATTAAAAGGGAGGGAAAGCCGTACTATTGGAGAGATAAGGATTCGCTGCACTACACAGAGTCGGAGCCGTATGGCGTGCGGGCCGTCCACCGGACCCACTGGACAGACGACCGGCACGACAGGCATGTGGTGATCGACCCGAAGAAGACCACGTGTATGCTCTACCTTCAGGCGGACCATCTCTTCTACGAGAAAATGGGTTCAGACGAGGCCTGCATTGAGGCCATGACTCGACACGTCCAGAAAGTGAACAGTATTTACCGAAACACCGGTCAGTAATGTTTTATTTTTGCTATACTATGTGCTATCCATTACATGCCCTGTAACTGTACTTGTATTTTATATGACAGTCTAACTGTACACTTCCCTGTGCTCTACGGGTATAATCCCTAGAGTTTTAGGCACAGAGAAAAAGCTAGTTTTTTTGTTCATCGGTATACACACTGTATTCACAAACCAACCGAAATAACTCACTCTTCAATATAATTGATTTTCCGGTTTTTTGGTTTTGGATTTTATTTGCAATCAAAAGACATTTTTTTCTTTCTCTTTGGCAATAAATATATATTTTTTGTTTCGATTTTTATGCTATTTTTTTCTTGTTTTTGTCTCATATATTTCTCTATAGACATTGAGATTTTTTTCCCCAAAATATTACTCGCCATTAATTTAATCATTTAGATATCATGTGTGCATATATTATGCGCTAAAATTATATTATAACACAAATAATTTACAATTTATTCGTTTAGAGATTAAAAACTAGACACTCATGTCATTAACGTTTGATATTTGTCTATGAGATTCAGTCGCTCTCTCCTTCTTCTCCATCTCTAAGCTCTCTCTCTCTCTCTCTCTCTCTCTCTCTCTCTCTCTCTCTCCCCCTTTCTGTCAGTGTATTATAACAGTATTTATGATATGCAATATATAACTCATATCTGTTTATATAGCAGTAAAGCACCGCTCCTTTATATATCTCCCTTCAACTATGGCTCTCTCTCTCTCTCTCTCTCTCTCTCTCTCTCTCTCTCGTTCATCTGTCTATGCGTTCAACTCTCATCTCTCCATTCATTTGATCACTTATTCCTCTTCTCTATCGTTTATCCGTTATTAGCCGTTCAGTTGAATAGGATTTATACGATTGTCTATAAGTTTGAGGCCATTATTTGCTTCACTCGAGAGCGAACTCTCGCCCCCGAAAAACACTGTATTGTATTGTATTCTACGGCCAGAAAATAGTGGCACTAAAATTGCAATCGATTCTTGAGATTCAGTGTTTAGTATATTTGGAGTGCAATCCTGTATATCGAGAGGAATAAATAAATTTCAATCAAAGTGTCTCTTCATTTCATCTCTCTCTCTCTCTCTCTCTCTCTCTCTTACATCACACACGATATGTCACACACACACACACTAACTCACACACACACCCGCATCTCTTTCTCTCTCTCTCTCTCTCTCTCTCTCTCTCTCCCTCTCGCTCTTTCTGAATGACTGTGTGATTAATACTCTAACGTTCAGATACTTGGCTCACATATACACATGCATTTACAATCGTTTTGAGTGTACGAGTATATCAATGTACAAGTTATACGATATATTGTATAACATTAATACATCGATGGGATATAATATACGGAATATAACTTTATATAGATATTTATACATAAGAAAATTTTTTTGCGCCAACACTGTATGGCATTTGAAGATCAATAAGCCATTAGACTAGTTGTAGAGAATGTAACTCTAATCTACTGTACTTAACACTTATCGTATACTAATTTCCACCACTATATCCGACAAAACTTAACGAATATATAGATAGATAAGGCATTTTTGAAATGATTTCTCACATCTGATGTATCGATTCCCGCATATATCACACATACTCTCTCTCTCTCTCTCTCTCTTACATCACACACGATATGTCACACACACACACACTAACTCACACACACACCCGCACACACACTCACACGCCAATAGACACTGGAATTATAGCCTAATATTTCTTATGTTATTTTGATATTTCTTTACACTAATAGAAAAATATATAATAAATTGAAAAAAATTTTCACTCAAAAAAAGGAAAGTCTTTTTTACAACTATTTATCAGTTGTGAAAAAATGATATTTCTTAAGGATATATCTATTTCGTCGGTATATTCTCTATGAAAACAGTTATTATTATTATCATTGCATTCAATACCAAAAGTGATTTTAAAAATGTGATATTTCTCACTCCTCTCCCCCTTTCTGTCAGTGTATTATAACAGTATATAAATTGAAATTAATATTTTTCTATATCAATGCATTTACTCTACGTTTATCATCATTGAAATTGTGGATTAGAATTTAAACTGCAAACTAAACCACCAATTCGTAGCACTTTTAATACAAACACAAACCGATTCCCAAAATCAATAATTAATTACAAATGTGTGGAAAGAGTGAGAGAGAAAATCTGTGGTATTGTTATCAATAAATGGCCGCAAAGTTTGGGCACAAAATGCAATATACAGTGAAATGAAGTCGAGAGAGAGAGAGAGAGAGAGAGATGATCGAGATATTCTGGTGAACAGAATTTTATTGGTTCGGCATTTTTATCACATAAATATATGTGTTCTCAATAGACTTTGAAATCGATTTTTATATGCAATTCATTTTTCATATTCTCTCTCTCTCTCTCTCTCTCTCTCTCTCTCTCTCTGGATTCCCAGTAAATCTTATTGTTAGTAAAAATTCTAACCGTTTCTTATTTCATATACTATTTCTGCCATTTATTTATCATACTATCGCTCCACTCATTGCAATGAAAAAACATTAGACAATAAAATATATGAAAATACTAACCATAGTGTTAGAGATAGAAACCCACAGAATATTCTTGTTTAGCACACGTTATAAAATATTTATTTCTCCCGACTTTTTATTCGTTAGTGTCTTTCGCTATAATTTCTTAACGCGATTGTCATTAATCTAATGATTATATTATTTATACTAATACTGTATAACGTGTCGGCTATAAAACAATGGCAGACTTTTAATAGGGATGGCAGACAAGTCTGGGTGACTATAATTGAATGGATTTTTATTTTATCTAAACGGCAGATAAAATAATAAAATTGTTTGCGATTCCAGTCGTGTATCACATAAATAATAGATAGAAATATATACTGTATTTTGCATTTGAAATGCAAACTCATTTATAAAGTGCACTCGTTTTTATCAGGCTCTCTGTGTCAGGTGATTTTTCATGGTAAAAAGCAAAATAACCTTATTTACCAAATTGATTCTACTATCAATTAATTCTCATATAAGAATATTCTGCCGATAATATTCTTAATAAGAATATTATATTTATTTAGTTCAATGGTTAGGGAATAGAGGCTTAATTATTATGATATAATAATAATAATGATAGATTAAATGGATTGCAATAATAAATTGTATTATTAATAAAATTAATGGACTTTTGATGTTTAAATTTTTAATTATCTTTGTATCAATTGTGATAATTTTTTGTGTTATTTTTTATGCCACAAACAGTCATTTATAACATTAAAAATATATTATAAATAGCATAATATTATTACAAATATTCACAACATTAGTCCCATATAAAAACCATTTGTTTATTTAGCAATTCATTCACCATTTGATAAATGACTTTAATTTTTATTTTTGCCACAATTTTTTCACAAATAATAATAAAAACACATTTAAATGCATAGAATATTCTATATGGAAATTTATGACCAAAAAAGTGAATACAAATAAAAATACTTTATTGAAAACGTCCGCCAGAATCGGCTAAAAACAAAACCATTTAATCGGAAAATTGACAAATTGAATTCAAAATAAAAAAACCATTATAATAAAATAACAACTAATTAAATTTACTTTGCAACTTGCGACAGATTTTGACCAGGATGGCCGGTCGGACAATATATCATTCCTAATTAAGCGCATTAAAGTACATACGGGCGACGCCTTAAAGGACCCGGAGTACAGGTATCCCAACAATTATGGAGTGGAAAAATTTCTGGAGCTCTTCTCGGAGGAGGATTACGACGCCTTCTGCTTGGCCTATATGTTCACATATCGCGACTTCGAGGGCGGGACGCTTGGCCTCGCCTGGACTGGCGATCTCAAGAATGCCGGCGGTGTTTGCGAGAAAAACGGGGTAAGTTTGTTCTGTTTAAGTAGACTAGTGTAGTGTTAAACATGTTTTTGTGTAAATTTCTCATGGTAAATTCTGTAATCTTACTTGTATAATTGTATAATGTTAGTTTATACGAGTGCTCTACCCCTCGTCTAGTATTTTATATTTTTTGGACGCTTTTACTGTTTATCCGTTTTAATTAAGTCTTATAGATATGTCTTTTTGAGACTTAACTTTCTTTATGTATTGAGAAATTTAAAGCACAGAATATTTGATTAAAAAATTGTTTATCAAATGAAATATACTTTTATTTTGTTGATAGGAATTGAATGTTGTTTTGTTAACAAATTTGAAAACCTTTTTAACGGAAATGTTTACACATTTCTCTCTCCATTTCCACTGTATGTTTGTGTGTGTTTTGGGAGTCGTCGTCGTCGTCGTTGTCGTCGGCAAACTTCTCTCAACACTTTATTTGCATTAAAAGAGAGCGAAAAATAAAACAAAATAAAAACTTTATTTATTTATATAAATATTTTTGCGGAGCAAATATTTTTCCGACTATTTGTCTTTTCCTCTGCAAAAAAAACCACTGCATTCTGGCTCTCGATATGACATTTTCTCATTGAAAATACGGATTCAGTTGTTTGTGAAAGCAGTTTGTTTTTGTGGATGTAATAAAAAATGATTATTTCACAGACAGAAAGGGGTTTTCTTCAGACATAAAGATATTATACTTTTATCAATATATATATCATATGAGAAGTTCATTCATATTTCTCTATTTATTTTAGTTTTTTAGTTTTATTTTATTTTTAGTCTTTAAGTTCATCTCTCTATTGAACACAAACAAAAGTGGAGAGAGAGAGAGAGAGAGAGAGAGAGAGAATAAAAAATGAGATCAAAAAAGTGTATTTAATATATCGTTGTTTATAATAAATATGTTTCACAAAATTCGTGTCCAGTCTTTGAAGTGATATTCCGTTTGAATGGATTTTGTGCAACGATTTGATGACACGATTCTCACTTCAAAACATAATTTTGTGGACAAACTTCTCGGCGAAGAGAGGATAGAAAAAAGCGAAAAATACTACAAAATATTTTTGTATTTCAAACTTTTAACTCGATAAAACAGATATAAATATGGTTTAGGTTTCGTTACACAGTATATATAAAATCAATGGGAATTTTTCACAATTTTTGTTTCATATGAGAAACAAAGTAAATATTAAGAGATAAGAGAAGAGAATATAATTTATAAATAAGAAAAAAACACTAAAACTAAAAGACAAAACAAAAACTAGGAAAATGTTATTATAAATAAATTATAAGTAATGGGAATAGAGATAATGCTATTGAAATGGTTATAACAATACGAATGAAGTATAAGACATAAAAATAATTTTCAAGAATATTCTGTGAATACGAGAGAGAGAGAGAGAGAGAGAGTCCACACATAAAAACAAAGGAAAGCTGTTATAGAAATTGATTTTCATCCCTTCATCTCTACTTTATTTTCTATATATCTTTCAATTTTGTACTCAAATCTTATTTCACATACTATTCATTGGTTTTGCTCCACATTATAACTATTTCTCATTCTTATATTTCGCTGCGTTTTTGCGAGAAAATAATAAATAAATTTATTATTCAATTCTTAGCCTATTTTTAGTATTGTTACCAACATTTTTTTCAATTGCTTTATATTGTTGTTGTTATTTCTGTCGTATATAACATTATATTTTATGATTTACTGCTTTAAGGGTCTCTCTCTCTCTCTCTCTCTCTCTCTCTCTCTCTCTCTCTCGTATTCACAGAATATTCTTGAAAATTATTTTTATGTCTTATACTTCATTCGTATTGTTATAACCATTTCAATAGCATTATCTCTATTC